AAAAAGAAAATAGTGAAGGCAGAGACTACTTTTAGATATTAAAACATAAAAACCTCAACATTTTAAACAGTATGATTCTGGAGTAAGAATAAATAGAAAGAAATACAGTACAGAATCTATAGCTTCCAGATAGCCTTTTAAAAATTTAATGTTTTAAGTATTTGAAGTATCATGTATTAATGAGAGGCAGAGTGGTTAATAGATTGGCCTCCAGAGCCAGGCTGCCTGAGTTTAAATATAGCTGTGTGACGTGGGAAAAGTTATCTAAATTTTTGCACTTCAGTGTCCTCTTATGTAAGAAAAGGCATAATAATAATATGTCCTTCATGGATTATAGTGAAGATTAAGTGAGTTAATACATGTAAGACACTTAGAACAGACACTGACACATAATAAGTGCTCAAGGAACATTACTCTTAGTTTTATATGAGAGGGAAAGATTATTCCAGGAAGTGATTCTAGGATTTAGCATGAAAGACACTTTGTTCTGGCTCCTGCCTACATTTTTAGCTCCATTTCTCATCAGTTGACTACATGTAGCACCCTTCTCTTCAGCTATCAGAGAATTTTAAAAAGTTGTACATATCCTGCTTGCTCATACCCCTGTGCCTTGGTATGTGTGCTGTCTGTATACCATGTGTTTCCCCCTTCATCTAACTTATGTCTGTTTTTTAAAACCCAGGTTTTCTGGAGGAAAACCTCCTCTGGAAAGCCTTTCTGACTCCCCAGTTTGATTGGATTTAGATGGATCTCCTCTGTGTTCCCATGGCAGCCCATGTTTTCTCTATTAAGACATGTATCACACAATAAATCAATAAATAACACTATAAATTTATTAAGCACTCTCTGTCGCTCTCTCGCTCTCTCTTAAAAAACAAAATAGGGACTATGACTGTTTAGTTCCCTAGTGAATATTGGGGGCCTAGCACAGTACTTGACATAGAGTAGTCACTAAACTGTATGTTGAATGAATGACTGTACCTATAGTATACTATGTGTACCTTTATTTCCACCTTTATCACATAATCCTGGAGTTGTTTGTCTCCTCCACTAAACTGTAAGACTATCTTATCTGAATTTCTATGATTACTTAGAGTAAATGCTTAATAATTGTCTATTGAATGAATAGAGTTGGTACAATTAATTCACTATTTATGAAATAAAATTTTAAAGTTAATAATTTAGATTCTCAAAAATATATAGTCACAGAAATGGCTGTGTATTAATCCATTTCTGTTGCCTATAACAAAATATCTGGAACTGGNAACAAAATAGGGACTATGACTGTTTAGTTCCCTATTGAATATTGGGGGCCTAGCACAGTACTTGACATAGAGTAGTCACTAAAGTGTATGTTGAATGAATGACTGTACCTATAGTATACTATGTGTACCTTTATTTCCCCCTTTATCACATAATCCTGGAGTTGTTTGTCTCCTCCACTAAACTGTAAGACTATCTTATCTGAATTTCTATGATTACTTAGAGTAAATGCTTAATAATTGTCTATTGAATGAATAGAGTTGGTACAATTAATTCACTATTTATGAAATAAAATTTTAAAGTTAATAATTTAGATTCTCAAAAATATATAGTCACAGAAATGGCTGTGTATTAATCCATTTCTGTTGCCTATAACAAAATATCTGGAACTGGGTGACTTATAAAGAAACAGAAATTTATTGCTTACAGTTTCTGAGGCTGCTAAGTCCAAAGTCCATGTGGTGGTGGCAACAGTGACCCAGGGGTCTCACATTGCAAGATGAGAGAGCAGAGAGAGAGACAGACAGACTTTTCCTTTCTCTTCTTCTAAAGCCCTCCCAACCACACAGGACCACCATTTTTAATCCATTCACTACTGCACAGTCCTACAATCTAATCACCTCCTCAAAGTTCCACCTTTCAATCACCATAATAGGATTTCCCACCCTCTTAATAGTCACAGTGGGGGCTAAGTTTCTAATACATAAAACTTGGGGAATGCAATTCAAACTTCAGAGAGTTTTGGGAGGACATAATTCAATCCACTATGGGTTGAGATGGTAATTTAATATTATGTGTATTTTACCACTATTTAAAATATATATAGCCACAGAAAACTAGAAAAAAACAGAAATGTTAAATTATATAAACATAGTTTATATATAATTATATGTTCATATTTATGTAAAATAATATAAATAATTTAGCTATAACTAAAATGTATGAAAGATTTAAAAATTGAATGGCAAATAAATTTGTAAAACATTAGAGCAAATCTAGAAGGCAAATGGCCATAAGTAATTCATGTAAATCAATAAGAAAAACACTAAATCTTTAACACATAAATGGGCAAACAACATGAATAAAAAATATACAAAAGAGGAAATGCAGCTATATAGCTAATGAAAAAAAAAATTTTTTTTTTTTAGAGATGACTGGTAATGGGATCTTAACCCTTGACTTGGTGTTGTCAGCACCACACTCTCCCAAGTGAGCTAACTGGCCATCCCTACATGGGATCCGAACCCACGGCCTTGGTGTTATCAGCACCACACTCTCCCGAGTGAGCCGTGGGCCAGCCCTTAATGAAAAAAATTTAAATCACCAGTAATTAAAAACACATACTATACAAAAGAAGGAAAATAAGTGATGAAAACCAATGTTGATGAGATTGTAAGACACTGCTTATTGTAATGTAAATTTGTACAATACTTATGGAAAGTAATTTTCCAATATATCATGAACCAAATTTTTTTCATATCTTTTGATCCAATAATTTAAAAAATTTATCATAATACATTAACTTTAAATATATAAAATACTCCATGTAAAATATTTTTATATCTGTCTTCTATATGACAGAGAGAAAGTAGAAATAATTTAAAGATCCATCCATAAAGGCATAATAACCTATAGCATGAAATACCCATTTGATGAAATGTTGTAGAGTCATTAACATTTTCAAAAAATATGTAGTAACATTAAAATGCTTAAGATAAAAAAGTAATTGAGAAAATTATGACAAATTGAATAATCAGTATGATTTTAATGATGTCATAAGAGCAATAACCAATATATAGAATTATAAGAAAATATGCACATTTTATCATATTGTGTTTGGATGGTGAACTATGGGTTATAGTTATTTTCCTTCTTTTGTATACTTAATTTTAATTTTTACTTTTAATAAAAATGAACCATAAGAAAAAAACCAGTCAACAGTAGTTATAAAATTTTATGGGTGAGAAGCTAGATGTCTCCTCACTAAGATGAAGAACAAGTCAAAGATATCTGTTCTCCTGATTTCTATTCAGCATAATGCTGGAAGTCCCAGGTAGTGCAATAAAACAAGAAAAGGAAATAAAACATATAGACTTGGAAGCAACAAATAAAAGTTTTTTTATTCACAGATGATAATGATTGTCTATGTAGAATATCCCAAAGAATAAAACAAAAAATCCTGGCACTAATAAGCAAATATAGCAATGTTGCAAGATTAATATACAAAAGTCAATTTCTTTCTTATGTACCGGCAATGAAGAATTAAAATTTGAAATTAA